GTGGGAAGACGGGAAGGCGGGAAGGCGGGAAGGCGGGAAGGTGGGAAGGCGGGAAGGTGGGAAGGCAGGAAGGCGGGAAGGCAGGAAGGCAGGAAGGCGGGAAGGTGGGAAGGCAGGAAGGCAGGAAGGCGGGAAGGTGGGAAGGCGGGAAGGTGGGAAGGCGGGAAGGCAGGAAGGCGGGAAGGCGGGAAGGCGGGAAGGCGGGAAGGCGGGAAGGCGGGAAGGTGGGAAGGTGGGAAGGCAGGAAGGCGGGAAGGCAGGAAGGCGGGAAGGCAGGAAGGCGGGAAGGTGGGAAGGTGGGAAGACATGTGCCGATCGTGGTAACGGAGTACACAGATTGCTCCGGCGCTGTATATCATCATCGTTCGCATCACAACAAGCCAATGCTGACTTTTAGTGTGTTTCTATTTTTAACGACGTCGTTGTATTTCGCGTGGGAAGAGGGCGCCGCGTGGTGTGGCACTATCGAAAGTAACGACAAGCTCGTTATCTCGTTTGCTCGCGTGCGTTTGTTGTTTACGCAGGCAGGCAGGAAGGCAGGCAGGCAGGCAGGCACACACACGCGCGCGCACACACACACGCGCGTACACACACATACACTCGCAACGAATATACGTATATACAGTTGTGCATTGTGTACGTGCCTGTGGCTAGCAGCTCGTACTCTTGATGGAAACTCGAACGAGTGTGTTATTGCCAAATCTAGGCAATTACGATTCTTACGCGCCAAATTGATAGCAGAGGGCGTGGCGAGCGAATCATCCGGGTGGCTCGACTCTTTCACAAATTGTGAAATTCGCCAATAACCGGCACGAGTCGATGAGAAGGAAGACTCGAACGTGAAGTCCGAGGGAAGCGATAGAGCGTGTCTAATATATCGTGTTCTGCTTGTACTTTCGCCAACGCGCATATATATATATATATATATATAAAAAGGGAGAAAGGGGAAAGGCAGACAAATGAAGCATTTGTGTCGAGGTATCTATGAAGCGGCCTATATATATATATATATATATATATATATGCGTACTACTCAGCGGCCTTGCTTCTTCCTCTGTTAATTATCAAAGGGAACCTGCGGTGAAACAAACACGATAGAACTACTTAGCAGGAACGCTGCTCGCTCTGGCACACGTTGTATACGTATATCTGTGTGCGTTCATGTCTCTCTCATTGTCTCTCCCTCTCGGTGTGCCCGTACATGCATGCGTGTGCGCATGGATAAGTGCGTGCGTACGTGCGTGCGTGTGCGTATGTGTGTGTGTGTGTGTGTGTGTGTGTGTGTGTGTGTGTGTGTGTGTGCGCGCGCTTACGTGTATACGCGCGTGCGTGCGGCGTCATATGTGCGTCGTCTGCTAACACGTGCGTGTGGTCTGCACTGTGTGTGCGTGTTTGCCGCGCCTGTGCCGCGCGTGCGTGCGCGCGTATGCGCCTCGCGTGCGGTGTGTGTGCCGCGCGCTGGCGCCGGTGTGGTGTAGTCGTCGAATAACGTGAAGGGTGCTCTCAGAAGTCAGATTACTCACTAAAGTGATTTTCACTGATACGTATTAAGTCCCGAGACCTGCCTTATAAGCTGTGTACATAATTACTGATTCTGCTGGAAATAAATCAGTAGAAGATAAGGGCGAGATAGCGAAGAGCCGTAGAAGCATCAAGAGAAAGGGAGACCGAGACCGATAAAGAGATGAGAGGAAAGAGCGTCAGGGAGCCGATCACAGAAACGAACAGTAAGAGCAGAAAGCAAAAGAGGAGCCTGAGAGAGAGAGAGGAGAGAGAAAGAGAGAGCAAGAGAGAGAGAGAGAGAAGAGAGAGAGAGAGAATACGAAAGTGTGCGAGACAACGTGTTACGCGATCGATCAAACACAGTGAGACGCGGTAAGCACTTAGCGAAATCCGATGGGAAGACCAGACTTAAAGTAGAGTAGTGGCGATAAATAGGTAAACAGAAGGATAAAAGATTGCAGACACTGCAGATATGCTCGTAACTAGGCGCGTCGGCAAAGTTTCTCCATGATTCAGCTGTCACTCAGCTGCGCTATCAACGCAAGTCGCACCCTTGTCTCTCCATACCGCTTTCACCACAGCGCCCGCCTTCTCCGCACCCAATCTTAGATATTATTTAAATGCAACGACGGCAAAAGTTTGATTAAAGGATATATCAATATCGCTGTGATTTTTTGGCATTGGCGCTGCAATGCAATTATTCTGTTTCTCCATTCAGACACGAGCTCTGCTCGTTTCGCGTATTCTACATGTGAATTGCGTTTTTTAAAATGCGTTTTAGCGAGTCAATCAACGTCCAAGCACATTTATGGCAAAGGAGAACAATTTAAAAAACGCAAGGTAAATGCATATCAAAACTCAATCCGACCGGGCAGCCGCCAACAACTCACTATCTTCACTCACCAACCATACCTAACTATCACACTCACACACCAAAAATACTAACTATCACAACTCACACCACCAACTAAACATATCAACAGACCACCACCCATATCTAACTAATCACACTCAGCACCCCATACTCTAACTATCACACCACCACATACTAAACATCACACTCACCAGCCATACTAACTATCACACTCACCACCATACTAACTAATCACACTCACCACCATACATATACTATTCACGACTCACCACGTATACTAACTATCAACACTCACCGATCCGATACTAACTATTCACACCACCACCATTACTAACTATCACATTCACACACCATACTAACTATCACACCTCACCACCATACAACTATCACACTCAACACACCCATACTAACTATCCACATCTCTACGCACCATACTACTATCAACTCACCACCATACTAACTATCAACACTCACCACACCATACTAACTATCACACCTCACACCAGATATCTAACTATCAGCACTCACCACCACCATTACTAACATCACAGTCACCACCATACTAACTAATCACACTCACCACCATACTAGCTATCACACTCACCACCATAACTAGCTATCACAACTCCCACCATAATCTAACTAATCACACTCACCAACTACACTCACCACCACAATCTTCACCACGCTTCCTCAACACCATCTATGACGCACTCGACACTACATATTACACTCACTACCATAAAAAAAAAAAAAAAAACAATCCAAACCACTATCAAACACTACACTCACTCGACCACCACTTACACCACACCTCCCACCACATTCGTTATCCGACCTAACCACCACTCTTACCACCACACCTCCCACCTACATTCGTGTATCCCAACCTACCACCACACTTACCACCAACACCTCCCACCACATTCGTGTATCCCAACCTACCTACCACTCGTTAACGCACCACAACCCCCACCACATTCGTTATCCCACCTACCCACGCACTCTTTAACACCACACCTGGTCCCACGCACATTCGTTATCTCACCCTACCACCACAACTTACCCCACAGGCCTCCCACCCACGATTCGTTATCCACACTACCACCACACTAGAGTAGGATAATAGATAGAGTAGATAAGACCTCACCGATAAGCTAGATGAAATAAATAGATAGATATGGTATGAATAGACAGATAGATAGAATTAAATAGGATAGATAGATAGAGAAATAGATAAATAAATAGATAGATAGATAGATAGATTAAGCATAGATATCATACATAGCATGATAAATATATAGATAGCGCATAGATAAGATA